TTTAGTTGGTTAAGATACAATAAAAATATAAGACCACTATAGTGGGTATGTGGTAGAAGAAATATGAAATAATATAGCTATATCCATGTCTATTCTATTTTTTTTTAGCTTAGATATATCAAAAATGATATTTTTCAGAGGCGAGAGTTGTGGCACCACAAAAATTATTACATAGCTATAACTTTAATAATCTAACTTGACCTGAGGTAACCTAGTATACTTTTTGTTTTAAACCCCATCTATATGTCTTTAGAAGTGTTTTGTATGTTTGTGAGTCTATGTGTGTTCTATTATGGGTCATAAGAGTTTGTTTGTGTATTTAGAAATTTGAAAGATTTCTTCTTAGGGCACCACAGTGTTAAGGTTGATGGAGCTAATTCTCTCAAAAAACTTATAAGTTAATTTATCATGGCACTATTGGGGCTTGAGCTAAGGCACGTTAGGCATTCTAAAGTAGTGTCGTGTTGGGCGTTGCAGGGCACTATAGTACTAGGAAAAATTTTAATAGTAAAAATATTCAAATTCCACCATTCAATTCATTTGATCCATTTGGGTAGCTAACCATAATGAGAGTTTTCTAGAGAGAGCTACTCCATTTCGGGGGGCTTCGAGTTATTTTTAAATAGTTTTAAAAGTTACTACTGTTGAGATAGGTTATATTTTTCCTTTCACAATTTTGAATAATTGAAAAATTTTAGGATTGTTTGAATGAAGTTGTAAATTAGTTTTAGATTAAATAACATTTTCTCAATTTCTGGTGAAGTTTATCACGTAACTTTTGATATGTTGTTGGTACAATTATTCTTGTCATTTTGAATATTTATTTGATATTTTGAGTTGTGTCATTTTAAAAAGAAGTAATTTTTATCAATCCAAAAGTTTATTTTAACTTCTCAAAATAATATTTTAGTTTGATTAACGCTTTAGAATATTGTTATACTCAATCTCTAGCAATGTGGTAGATTTTTAAAAACTATAGTTTTGGCGAACTGTAGAGCGTCGAGTGGGAAATTATTTTGACAATTGTTAGAGTATTTTTATAGAATTATACAATAATATTATAATCAGTTCAATAGTATAGAATGCTCTATATTTTCAATATATTTTTTCAAAAATATTTGAATTATATGAAAAGAACTTCTGTTAGCAATGAGAAGGGATTCTATTGTTTGTTATATATAAAAAGTTTTGACCCTGATGTCTTTTTTAATATTTTAAAAAGAAGGGATTTGTTTGGTGGTGAGAAGGGATAATGTGGTCACGAGAAGGGATTCTATTATTTGTTATGTATTGGCATTAGGGAGCTGAGGTTCATTTTGATATTTGTAATTATGTGTTTATTAAAAAACATATCAGTTGGTGAATGTATGGAGATACACTAGTGAGAGAAACACTGTGTTTTAAGAGAGAGAAAATTTCAAATTTGCTTTCTTGGAGAAATTTTTGGTAATGTCGACTATGCGTTCGGCGATAAACTCTGGTGAAGTTCCTTCTACCAGAAATCTGAACATCAATCCTAGTCCATTGATGAATTGAATCATATCACCAATGAATGCTCCGTTGGTGATTAGAGAACCATCGTTCATTAAATCTATTTCGTCTAAACCTGTGATCGGAAAAGGAAAGGAGATCGAAGGGAAACCGAATTTGGAGAATCAAAAAACTGATGTCTTCAACAATTCAAGTGGTTTTGAAGCTTTATCTTCATCTAGAATGAAGCTTATTGTTAACAGGTTTGGCAACGCTGTAGCTAAAATAGTGTTGGGTTTGGTGTCTATTTCTTATTTTCAAAATAAAAATGATAACCCATTATGTGCTTGTGGAATTGATCAAGTTAATCTTGTGGTTACTGATGGCCAAGGTGAAAATAATAATCTAAAGTACAAAGATGTTGTAAATCCATGGAATAAGAATTCTTATATAAAGGTTGATCTTTCGAAGGAAGAACCTTTTTTGACGGAGGAGGGTTCGGTAGTGAGGCTTCATGAACCAAGTGTTAAGGCTAATTCTGATATACTACAATCTTTTTTTGTGGTTAAGGCATTTGGAAAAAATATTCCTGTACAGTCGATTGCTGAGGAGCTTCGGAGACAATGGAATTATTCTGGTAAATTTCATTTGACTTCTCTTGGTTTGGGTTGGGTTTTGTGTTCTTTTTTTTTTCAATAGATGTGATGGAGAAAGTTATGTCGGGAGGTCCATGGTTTTTTTTTTTTTGAAAGAAATGCTAAAGTGCATTAAAAAACCAACCAAAAACAACAAATCAAGTCACACCTAAAGCATCACATTCCTCCTTCAAGCAATACAAAAAAGGAGGAATTAAAGCATCATGGAGATCTTCCCACAAAAAAGATCTAACTAGAGCAAAATTAGCACAAATATCTGCTAATTTGTTGCCCTCCCTATTCGAGTGAGAAAAAACAATTTGCTTAAACTCAAGTAAGAAAGCCAAATTATCATCAATTACTATAACCTTCCAATTTTTCACCGAATTCTGAAGCATTTGGATGATATTGATGTTATCCCCTTCGATGATCACCCCTTGAGCCTCGAACCTCCAGTTTTGAGCCACATTCTTCAGATGTAATACCACTAATAATTCCAATTGCGATATGTCCCGGTGCAAGGATTGATTTCGAAAAGCAAGTAAAAAACGTCCCTTCTCATCTCTGGCAACGCCGCCAATTCCCGCCAAATGATTTCTCAAAAGAGCTGCATCTACATTTATTTTAATCCACCAGGGAGGAGGAGGACACCAAGGAGAAAATAGCAAAAGCTGGTTAGCATCCCAGTTTTCCGGTTGGATATTCAAAAAGTTACTTCTCACAGCAAAAGAAATAACATTTGCAGCTATGTTGCTGTCGAATCCTCAGCATTGCCATGCACTAACTTGCACCTGCTCTTCCAAACAAGAAAAACCGTAGTACAAAAAATATTTACTGAAAGAGAATTTTTCCCCACATATCTCTGAAGACCATCCAAGCACTCATCAAAACTATTAAAAATATGAATCGAAAAGCCCCAACTATTTAATAGAGCAATTACCTTCCTGAATTTTGAACATTTCCCAACTAAGTGGCTGTTATCTTCATCTTTTCCAAAACCCCTTGGACATCCAGCATAATTGCTTAGCTTCCTCTTCATAACAAAGGAGTTAGAAGGAATGGCATCATTACAAAGTCTCCACCAAAAAAGATCAATTTTCGGTTTCAACTTTAGTTTCTTCAGCCAATTCCAATGAGCAATGTCTTCCCTATGAATCATAGCATCCTCGCACGCCAAGGCTGTAATAGACTTTATAGTAAATTTACCTTTCAGTTCAATAGTATCAGAAATCCTGTTACTCCTGATAGGAATACCACTGATAAGGTTTAAAAGCTGTTCACCAAAGACAACTCTCAATTTATCCTGATTCCAATGGCCTTCGGAAATAAAAGAGTTAAGAAGTATATCTGAATTTTCCTAAATATTGACAAAAGTAGGCCAAGAAGCAATACTTCTGTCCAAAATCCATGAATCATGAATCCAATTGATTGAATTACCATTAGATACCTCCCATCAAACAATATTTTTAAGAAAATTGGCTCCCATAGTGATGATCTTCCAGGTAGAAGAACATCCTTTCTTCACTGTCCCCGACCACAAATCTCCACCATACTTAGCTCTAAGAATAATATTCAAAAGAGAATTTGGCTTTGAGTAAAAATTCCAAGAGAATTTGACACGTAACGGACCAAACTTCAAAACTGCTGAAAATAAGCCTCTACCACCTTCATTCTTTGGTCTACAAAGTAGATCCTAAGACGCATAATGTAGACCAGCTTTACCGTTATTTTTACTCCATAAGAATCCTCTACACATCTTATCAAATTCCTTTAAAATGCTCAAAGGAACCAACGAAAGAGAAGATAAAAATAGAGGAAGAGAAAGGAATGCATATTTGGCTAAAACCAATTTACCTTCTAGTGAAATGCTCTTTTTACCCCATGTATTCAGTTTACTAGCTGCTGCTTCCATTAATACCTGGAAATCCTATGTCTTCAATCTTCTCAAGGTCATCTTTACACCAAGATAGCTAATTTCCTTCACAACCTAGAAATTGAGATGTTTAACCACCTTTTCCTGGGTACTTCTTCTGGTATACTTACCAAAAATAATCATTGACTTAGAATTGTTAACCTTTTGTCCCGTCCAAGCACAATAACTAGAAATGATATTCTTCAATTCCCTAATCTCTTTAATCTTTGCCTCCGAAAAGATTAAAATGTAATCCGCATATAGTAAGTGGGATACTCTAGGTGTTAATGGAGATTTTGAAATACCAAAACCATGCCTTTTAATAATAAAGCATCAGAAAAAATTTGGGAACATAAAATGAATAAAAATGGGGATAAAGGGCATCCTTGCCTAAATCCACACTTTCCTTCAATCCATTCAATTTTCTTCCCATATCTCAGAATGCAATACTTGTGATCAAGGACACATTGCAATATAAGTTCCAAAAATTTACTAGGAAATTTGAAACGAATGAGAACTTGCCTTAGCGTCTGCCATCCCATACTATCATAAGCTTGTTCCATGTCAAGCTTAATGGCTAGCATCCCACTTCTAGACTTGGACCACCTGAACTTGTTAAACACCTCTTGAGCCAAAAGCACAAGATCAGATAAAGAACGGCCTTTAATAAAAGCTGCTTGATCCACTGAAATTATCTTATGAATGACTCTTTCCAATCTATTTAGTAGCATTTTCGCACTGATTTTATAGATTGGCATACACAAGCTGATAGGACGGAAGTGAACACGCGCTTGTGGACTTTTGATTTTTGGGATTAATACAATGAAGGTCTCATTCCAAGACCGATCCATTACACCTGATTTTAGGAAATGAAAAACAGCTAGCCAAATGTCTTCTTTAACCACATCCCAGAAATCTTTAAAAAACGAGAAGGTAATCTCGTCCAATCCTGGAGAAATACTTCTCCCAGAACTCTCCACAGCCTACTGTAACTCCTCTCTAGTAAATTTAGCTTCAAGCATAATTTGGTCAACATTACTAATGACAGTAGATGGATTCGGCCACCCATCTAATGAGCATTTTCTGTATTGCCATTTCAACTTGAAAAAATCTGAAAGAGTCTTCTGGATAACTGCCTCTTCTTCCGAAATAATACCATCCATAGTTTTTATATGACTAATCCAGTTGTTACTTCTTCTAGCATTGTCAAAGGTATGAAAAAAAGACGAATTACAATCACCTTTGTCCATCCATCTTGCTTTAGCCCTTTGTCTCCACCAAGTGTTAAGTCTAGCCAAAGTCACATTGAGTTCATTAATTTTAAACCTCAAAAGCTGTAACCTATCAAAAGAGATCCACCCTTCATCCTCCTCCAACTGAATTTCCAAATTTTCATTTTTCAGTTTATCTCTTAAAAGATTCAGGTTCATGAACTTAGCCTTTCTCCAATAAAAGAGACCTCTTAAGGTCCTCTTAAGTTTTAAATTGAGAGCAGACGGTGGATCACCCAAATAGTTTTTAAGCCAAATTTTCTTCACCAAAGCAACTGCACCATGGTATGACGCCCATGTTTCTTCATAACGATTATCCCTTTTAACAGCCTTCACAGGTTTGAAGATATCCAACAGTAAAGGACAATGATCCGATGCTATACGGGATAAGTGTTTAACTATAGCAAGATGGATGCTGTTTAATGCAGAGGAATTAATCAAACATCTCCAAAATCTAGGCATTACCAGATTTATTGTTACACCAAGTGAACCTTGGCCCCATCGATCTCACCTCATGAAGATCATTGATAATCATGATGTTATTAAAATCCTTCGATCCTTGATTTAAGCAAAACTTTTTCCCTCCTCTTTTTTCAGATTGGAAAAGTACACAGTTGAAATCCCCTCCCACTACCATAGGGAGATCAGTTGAACAATGCCTTTCAATATCAATCCAAAGTCTCTTCCTTTCATTAGCATCTGTGCTGCCATACACCGAAGCCACAATCCAGCTGCCTTTGCCGTGAGCCTCCAACTTACCCAAAATCATCTGAGAAGAAGCTTCAATAACAGAAAAGTCTACTAAATCATTCCTCCATATCACCATTATACCACCTGACAAACCAACAAATGGAACTACAAAAGAATTCCAATTCGTACCCAAAAATTTCAAAAGGTAGCTGTTATCCTGAGAGTTAATTTTCGTTTCCAAAAGCCCAATAAATAAAACTCCATGATCCTTGATCACCTCCTTAAGAAATAGAGCAGCCTCCACCTTCTTGTCTCCTCTATAATTCCAAAATAATAACGAAGTCATTGCTTAATGATTAAGGAAGCCCTTCCCCCCCCCCCCCCACCTTCTTAGCTTTTCCACCTTCCATTTTTCTATTATGCGGAATAATATTACCAGACCCAAGGGATTTAAGCTCTTTGACAAGCTTAGTCTTTTTATTATAAGAATCACTTCCACCCAATGAAAAATTATTAACAGGCAAATCCTTAGTTTTCTTCTGAGAATCCACTGGTTGCACCTCTGCACCTCCAACAAAGCCATTTAAAGCTACTTCTATATTGGAAATAAAAATTTCCCCTTCCTCGACATCATTCACCTTAACAAACACAGGGCCTTTCACCTCATTTAATTCTTCTAATTCAGATAAGACATCAAATTTGTTAAGAATTTTCACTCCAGAACTGTTACCTGAATTAAATCCCTATTTTGCTTCCTTCACCAACAGAGCTTCCACAGCTGGACAATCTACCATACAAGCTTCACTCACGCCCGTTCCAGGAATGAAGATCTCCTTATTACTTTTATCTTGCTCCTTTTCCAATTTACCCATCACTTTCAAATTAGAAATTCCAGTTTTAGGAATAAAAACCTTTTTCATTGGGACAGAAAATTTTTTGTTGAAAAATCTTCTGTTAGCAGCAACCTTATTAAACCTTTTTTTCCCATGGTTCACTTGAGTCCAAGCGTTGTCTTTATCCTTTCCACCTTCAATGACAGATTTCTCTGCAGCCAATTGAGAGATCTTTCCACCATCCACACCGGCATGATTAGACAAGTTTGAGTCCACAACCACCTTATTCTTCAAATCAGTACATGTTTTTGAAACATGCCTAATTTTCCCACACTCCAAACAGATTTTAGATAACCCTTCATACTCTACCTTCTGAAAAAATTCTCCAGCTAAACCCTTCACCTAAATGCCTTATGGCAGCTTCAAATCAAGAGGAATTCGAACACAAACTCGAGCAAATTCCCTTCTACTCCACTGGAACATATTCCTATCCAGAAGATACGGCTTGCCAACTAGAGAAGCAATCCTGAAGATGTTTACCTCATCCCAACACTGCAGAGGTAAATTAGGTAGTCTAATCCATACAGGAGAAGTAATGCCCTTGAGAGACGTAGGATTGAATATAGCCGACCACTTGTCCAAGACAACTACCTTCCCCCTAATCCACCAAGGTCCTCCTGAAAGAATACTTTCTAAAGCCTCCGGATCTTCAAAAGAGCATAAAACCAGCCAATTCCTAACCCTGTGATGTGGAATTTCCCAAAATTATCCCACTGTCTCCTCAAGTTAGTGCTTATCACATGAAATGGAATATTGTCACCAAAGATCTTCACAACAATAGCTTTATCCATTTTTTTAGCATTCTCCAATTCCTTTTCAGCATGAAGGAAAGCCACTCTACCATCAATAGATAAGAAAGAACCCAGATCCAGATTATCAACCCTCACATTCAGTTGTTTGTTCAAAGTCGAATTAACCTTCACAATTCCAACCTTATTCACATCATAATTAGAATTGGCTAAACCAACTTCAGACACATCCCCTGGCAGACCAACGTCCTTCTTAAGAGACAAATCCACATCCACATTAACCACATCCTCTGTACTACCAATAATAGGAAATTCTGAGAGAATTTCACGATTAACTGGTGAAGAAGGTCGAGATTTCGAATAGAAATCTTTGTAAGAATTAAATTTCCTTCCAGCTGATGAAGAGGCTTCTACACCTCAACCCCCACCCATAATGTCACAACCGAGCTAAAAGGATGGAATCTCCTTCTTCTTTAGAAAAAGCTCCTCAACTATATCCTTACCTTTACCATGTACGTGAACAGGAATCACTTTCTTGTCCAACAATCCACCCTCGTTGATGATCAACGGCTTTTCTTTCAGACCTTTGAAATTCTGATTGAATCCTTCAAGAACCTTAGAACAACCATTAAAAAACTTTAGATGAAACATGAATCGGTAAAGCCGAATTCTTCCTGTAATTCTTCCAAGCTTTCGTTTGGAGGATCCGCCTTTGCTTCATCAACGTTTTCCCGTCCTGCCGGAGCGCCGGCAAATCACTGGACTACTCAGCCGCGAAAAAACCAGAACCGCCGAAACAGAATTTTGAAAAACCAGACTTTCTCACTCTAATTCTATTCAAATAGCTCAATCTATGCTTAAAATTGGTATGGACAAATAGAATTCAGATTTCTCTCCTTCTTTATTAAAAGGATTGAGCTCGCCGGTTTGGGTTAGGATGCCTAACCTTCCTCTTTTTTGTGGGGATGAAGTCAATGTGGCTAGAATTTCCTCTTTAATTGAGACACCTTTATTGATAGATGGAAATATGTTCCAGTGGAGTAAAAGGGAATTTGATAGAGTTTGTGTGCGGGTGGAGCTAGATAAACAACTTCCTTTGGGAGTTTGGGTGGAAGGATTGAATGGAAGGTTTTTTCAAAAAGTTGAGTATGAGAAGGTTTCCTCATTTTGTTACAATTGTGGTAAAGTTGGTCATTTGATCAATTCATGTGTTTTGAAGAAATTTGAAGACAATGGTGGTGCAACAATGGAGAAGAATAGTAATGAGCAGGAGTTGGATAATCCTGTTTCTAAGGTTCCTTCTTATGGACCTTGGATACATGTTAATAGCAGAAAAAATAAATGGGCAAAAGCTGCTAGTAGGAAAAGTACTGTTATTTCTAAATTTGTGTCTATGTAGAATAACCTAAAGTCATCCGTACAGGATAAGTCAAGAGTAGGGATATCTGTTATCAATAATGATGATGAGGTGCTTTTTAAGAAGGGAATTCACAATGGTGATCTAACAGAGGATGGTTGTCTGAAATTGCTGGTTATTGATCTAGTAATCCAGAATTCAGAAGGTATAATTTCTAACAATGAGAGCTTACCTTCATTACCTGTAATAGTTAGTCAGAAAAAATTTGATGTGTTAAATGATCTGGATGGGGCGAACGGTGGAAAAAGCATTGTTGAACAACTCCAAGTGATTATTGAAACTGAAATTGAAAAAGGAGAATTTCTGAAAAAAAGTGGTAAAAAGGTGGCATTGTCGGAATTTGAAACTGATAGAGGTGAGGAGGAAGGTTATGGGGTTTCGTTGAATATTAATGGTAAAGTATAGGAATGTATGGTTAAACCAAAGCATAAACTTCAAAAATAACTTAGATTTTTGGGGCCATTGAACTCTTCTTCTAGAGTTAAAAAACTAGAACGTTTGAGTACCAAAAGGGTTGGGGGTCCTTCCCCCTTTGTTGAAAAATGAGTTCAATTACTTTTTGGAATTGTAGGGGGGCTAATAAGATAGAAGCCTCTCTATATTTGAACGAGGTGGTTAAAGATTGGGATGTATTTTTTATGTGGATTGTTGAAACCAAGATTTCTAATATGGATAATTGTGATTTTGTTAAATACATGGGCAATAGTTGGAATTTCTTTCTGTTTCCTTCTGATGGGATGTCCGGAGGGATTATGGTATTATGGAGGTCAGATCTTGCTGCTTTTTCATTGATTGAAGCTTTTGCTCAGTATGTAGTTGGGCAGTTGAAGGTGGCTAATAAGGAAACTTGGCTAGTTTCTACTGTTTATCGGAGAAGAGATGTGTATAGTAGAAGGAAGCTTTGGGATTGTTTTGGTTAGCATTTTTCATTGGATATTCCTTCAGTAGTTGGGGGAGTTTTTTATTGTATTTAATCTCAATAAGATAAAAGAGGAGGTAAAAATTTTAAATTCTCTCTTGCACCTCAAGAGATGAGATCTTTCATGAATGACTTTGATTTTCATGATGTGGGTTCAATTGGTCCTAAATACACTTAGTGTAATAATAAAGAAGGAAATGCTCAAATTTGGGAAAGACTTGATAGGTGTCTATTGAATTCTAAAGCTTTAGAATCCATTGTCATACAGTGATGAAGATTTTTAACAATGTTATACAAAGCTCTAAAATTCTAGGGTTTGAAGATATATGGATATCTTATCTAGCTTTAATGGCTACGGTGCATAAATCTTGGGCTAAATTCAAAAGTGGTAAACCTATGGAAATTCTTAATAAGAAATTTCATAGAGTGTTAAGGGCCTTATTCTTTTGGAGCAAAGCAAAATTTCAAAATTTATTTCAGCTAAAAGATAAACTTAAAAGGGAAGTGGCTGAGCTTCAAAACGAAGAGGTGAATGATGGTTCTTTTCAGAATGATCATCTATTGTTACTGAGAGCTAAAGTGTAGGAATTAAATGTAACTTTGGCTCATTTAAACACATGGTGGAGGCAAAGTGTGAAGATCAAATGGTTGGAGGAAGGAGACATGAATTCAAAACTTTTTCATGCATTTGATAATGGGAGGAGGAACAAAAATTTGAATAAACAAGTGAAAAATAAAATGGTGAATTGGTGGAAAACCTGGAAAGCATTGAAAGAATTTTTTTTTAGTTCTTTTGTAAAAAATGGAAAGCTAGGAAATGTGACTTGTCGAGTTAGCCAAGAGTTATCAAGGCTTTGAGCAATGAGGACTCTATATTCTTGGATGTAGATTTCTCTTTTGAAGAATTTAAAAGGGTAGTGTTTAATCTTGGGAGAAATATCTCTCCTGGGTTGGATGGCATCTCTTATACGTTCATTAAGTCATATTGGAAAATAATTGGGCATGATGTTTGGAAAATGATTATGCAGTTCTTTTCTTTAGGAGAAATGAGCTCTAGTTGGAAAGAGACGTTGGTGGTTCTTTTCCCAAAGGTTCAAAATATGGTAGAGCCTTCTCACTTGCGTCCGATTAGTTTATGCTTGTCTATTTATAAAATTGTTGCAAAAATTTTATTAAGTAAATTGATGATGGTGGTTGATAAGCTGATTTTTGAAACTCAAGTTGCTTTTTTAAAAGGAAGATCATTATCTAAACATATTCTTCTTGTGCAAGAAATTTTTAATAAATTCATATTTTCAAGGTCTAAAAAAGGTTTGGTGGCCGTTAAAATTGATATGGAACAAGTTTATGATAGTATGGCTTGGCCTACTTTGAAACAAGTGTTGGATTTTTTTTGTTTTCCTTCTAGTTTTTCAAATCTTTTGATGGAATGTGTTTCAGATTCTAAGTTTTCTATTATTATCAATGGAAAAAATTCAAATTGGATTGAAACTAAGAGTGGTTTTAGACAAGCATGCCCGTTATTACAGTATTTGTTTATATTGTGTTCCCAACAATTATCCAATAGTTTTTATCATGTTGGCAATGAGTTGGGTAAGGTAGCTGCCTCTGCTCCTAAGATTTTGCATCTTTTGTATGAGGATGATGCTTTGATGTTCTTAGAAGCTAAAATATTGTATGTTAGAAGGTTAAAAATGATTATTTCAAATTATTGCAAAATGGACTGGTCAGTCAGTCAATTTGAATAAATCTTCTATGATATTTGGGCTTCTAAGGTTGAAGTATGAGGAGGTCAATGAATTGAAGTATTTGGGTGTCAAAAATTGCTTAAGAAGATTGGTTACTAATGATTATCTTTTTATTCTTAAGAAAGTTGCTAGTAAAATTAATGGTTTGGGGAACAAATTTTGTTCCTTGGCTAGGAAAATAGTTTTGATAAAATCGGTAATGCTTTCTATTTTGGTATTCTATGTCTCTCATTCTCTTTTTCCTCAAAGCATTTTGAATAGTATTGACAAGGTATGCAAAAAAATTTTATGGAATAAACCTGGGAATGTTCGTGGCTTTCATTATGTTGCATGGGAGGTACTTTGTAAACCATTAGAGGAAGGAGGTAGGGGTATTCACTCGACGGTTGCTATTTCTGATCCATTGAGATCCAATTTTTCCTGGAACTTCATAAATAAACTTGAAACTCTACTTCATGGTTCTCTAAGAGCTAAATATGGAGATAATGTTTGGAACAATGAGTGCAGGAAAAAATGCTCGTCTACTTGGAGAATTTTATTGAGAGGTGCTCAAGCTCTCCGTCCTTTGATTAGATGGAACATGGCTTCTGGAAGTTCTATTAATATTCTTGAAGATGTTTGACTTCTAGATAGGAGTTTAGCTAGATGGCCTACCTTCATTATAATTTTGGAGGAATAATTTCCTTCTCTTGATAAGTTCATCAAAGACGGGGAATGGTTATGTAGTGAGCTAGATAAATTCTTTGGGAAGGAACTGGTAGAGCTTATACTCCATGTTTAGATTGATCAGGAATCTACTATTGATCATATGGAACTTATATACAGGCTATCGGGAAGGTCCATAGCAGCTTTGGTGTCCAAGCTTGATGTACATTATTCAGTTGTAGACAGACAGTGGAGTTGGCTTAAATTGCTGAAGCTCTCTTCTAGAGTGGAATGTCTCTGGTGGAGAATTCTAAGTAATGCTATTCCTACATTTGAGTTTTTAATGTATAGAAGATTACTGGATCATAATAGGTTCCCAAGGGGATGTGCTATGGCGGAGGATTCAGGGCTTGTCACGGTTTTTTATGATAAACTCATTCTTTTGATTGAGGCGCTTAATAAATGAGCATTCAAAGTCCCTACATTTTCTTCTTTTTTAGATTGTAAAGAAAAATGGAAGATTCTAGCTAAATATAATCCATTTATTTCCAATCTTTATTGCTCAAGTGTATACTTTTCTTGGAAGAGTAGGAATAACATTATACATAAAGGGCAAGAGGTTGGATTGATGTTCATGGCTTCAAGAGCAACCAGTAATGCCCTTTCTTCTTCTAATTGGAGATTTTATTTGGACCACTGTGGTGCTAACCAGCTTTTGAAGCCATTTTCTTCTTTTTGGCACCCTCCTCCACCCGAATGGATCAAGGTCAACTTTGATGCTACTCTTCTAAAGTCTAATGAAGTTGGAATTGCTGGTGTTTTCAGAGATCATAAGGGCAGATTTTTGCTAGCCTTTGGTTTTAATTGTATGCATTGGGATATTGGTTCTTTGGAGATTTTGATATTTTGTTCCTTGAAGGTT